TATAGAATTTTTTCATCTCCTTTCAGTGTGGTTTCTGGTCATTTACAAGTGGAACTAAAACTTCCGACGGCTGAACCACAACTTTTCGAGGTGCAACAACATGCCAATTCTCATCAATGTCAATCTTCATAGTTGTTTCCACTACCTTAACAGCCTTGGCAACATCATCACACTTGACAACAATCATGAAAGATTGTTTGCCCAGCTTCAAACAAATGACCTCAGGAATATCTAAACCAGCAAGCCTCCAAATTTTAACTCTAATAAACGTGATATCCTTCCCCAAAAAAGAATCCCAATTTAGATCACAATATTCCCCACAATAATTAACAATCCTTTGGATAATCTTCAGATTCCAAGCATGGAAAGTAATGCCCCCAAAAGAGACCCTCACAATTTCTCTTTGAGCAAAGGAACCATGAGCCACTGGGGACCAAAGATCAAATGAGAGTAATTTGCCTCTCACCCTAGGAAATCTATGGCGAAGAGCATTACGAACATCCTCCTCCTTAAGCAAACAAGCGACCTTGTTTATATAAAAAACTTTCACCTCAGGAGCACAAGAAAAGCCCATCCCCTTTTAGACCAATCATCCAAACCAAATGTGTCATTAGAAGGTAGTGAGAAGGAACCCACCACCACCAGTTTCATCGTAGACAGTAGATCCTATTAGTCCTAATAAAAAACATCAATAAACAAAAAATAAACAAACAACTTACTTGGATCTGTCCTTAAATCACACGAGGGACTTAAGGTTCCATACCAAACCCTATAGACCAAGCCATCTGGTGACATGTTACCTTGAGAGTCCTCTTTGGTGAATCTCTTTCACCTGTTATCCATCATTCACTCTGTCTTTGTATTTAGAGTGGTTAACCTCTTTTTATATATTTTGTAACTCTCATATTCATGGTCTATAGGAGTTGAGATCCAAGTATCACTCCTGCCTTAATTCCCTTAAGTTTAGCTAATTAGGATTAACAAGTTGTTACCAAACTTTTAATCTAATATAATAGTTAATCCTATATAATGAGCTAAACTTGTCATTAGTGCACTAATGACTCACATGATAGGATGTCATCCAAATATTTCAATAATTTTGATAAAATATATTTAGAAATTAAATAATTTTGTACATCTATAATATAGAAAAAAAAACAATTCTTACAAAGGATCCAAACATATCACTGGGTTTTTCCCCTAGTGCAATATCCTATAAAATCTCCAAAATGGATCCTAGTATATGGCATTGCCTCATGTCAACCACACAGGATTTCACATATACTATACAATATGACTTTACATCATTATTGAAAATTAAGTTCCCAGGATAACAGGGCCTGATAGGCCATATTTCCAACAGATCCGACACCACAGATGGATTTAAGGACAAACACGGACAAATAGAACCAGTAGAACCATTACCTTCAAAGATCTCCCCATTCTCCAACTCCTCCATCTGACTTGTCTAACTTTATTAAATCCCAAGAGCACATGCATTGAAATGAACAATTTTATGCATAAAATATCTTAGAACCCCTTTTTTTTTTCTTTTTTTTTTTTCTGTTTTTTTTTACAGGGGGAGGAAATCTCAAATATCCATTGACATGCACTTCATCAGAAATATAAATAACATAAAAACAAAAAGCTATACAATTCTTAAGTTTCGTGAAAAGTGATGCTTAGACTATTAGAGTGACAATATTGAGGTATGCACATTCACCCAAGAAAGGTTGATAAATACAAGGACGACTAAATTTATAAAATATAGCCTAAAGTCTGTCATACATGACGCTTTATTTTCCTACTAACCATCTTGGTTTTAACATCAATTTCAGAATTTTGAATACCCAAAAGCTACAAATCCCAATTTTAATGAAAGATACTCATAAAGCTCTTACTTTGAAATGGAAGATGAAATTGTTCTATAAAGAAGCAATACTCAACCGACGGCATTTTGCAATATATTTTTGGGTTCAGACATTAATGGCTTTGAGAAAATTGCTTTAAAAACAGGGATAAAGAAAAAACTCACGAAATTTCAATAGCCAACTACCCACTAATAGATTTATGCAGTAATAAGTAGATTTATATAATATCTAGCAAAAATCTCAAATTGCAAACTTACTTGTGTGCTTGCGGAGGGATTAAACAAGCCAACCTTGTATATTTTCAGAAAATATGTAAAAACTTATAAAAATTAAAAGAGAGATAATGGATAAATGATAAGAGAGATAATGAGTCCTATTCGAAGCAAAACACTAATGAATGAGAGAGAGAGGTGCGTCTAGTTAGTCAGGGAGTGGGAGGGAAAAAAGATCTCAGTGCTGAGAGAGTGAGATGAGAGAGAGAGAGAAAGTGAGTGGGGCTGTAGTCAGGTTAGAGTGAGAGTGGGGAGGGAAAAGATATTTGGGTATTGAGTGCTGAAAGAGTGAGAGAAATAGAGAGAGAGGTTTGAGAGAGAGAGAGAGTTTGTGTTTTGAGCAATGGTTTAAAAAACGGATCGATGCCCTGGATTGGACACCCAAAAAACCGTTCGGATCGGTGAATCGGCGATCCGGATAGGGAGTCGGTTGAATCGGTCGGATTAAGTTTTAAAAAAAATCCAAAAAAATTATTAAAATTCATTATAAATTTTGTTTTTTAAGAATTCAATAAGAACTTGGGGTACTACATTATTAAGTTTCATTTTATTTTATCAATATGCGAATATTGAGATGTTCGTTTCTTGTCGTCAAATATTTATTAAAATCTAACTAAAGACAATATTATATATTGAAATTAGAGTTATTGGTATGTATTTTATTATTTTCTCATCATTTTACTATACAAATAAAAATAAATTTGAATTTTGTCTTATAATATCATCTAATTTAAAAATCTAAAAATTTAACTATAAATTATGAGAATCGGACAAATCAGCAAATTTTGTCTCAAAATATTTTTTAAAAAATCATTATGAATATTTAAAAATAGTGTTCTTTTAGTTTCTAAAAGAAACTAGAACTGATGCATTATGTATTCTCATTACTTTGTAAAAATAGATGAATATTGTGACACTGTTTTTCTATCTGGATGTCTGTATAATTATTAATTATAATATTATAATAAACATGATTTCAAAATTATTAGAAAACGATTCCATTTTTGTTTTTTTTTGGGTAAGTAATTTCATTTCGTAGGATTAAAAAAAAAAAAACTATAAATTTTAATATTATGATATTACAACAAAACAAATTACCCTAAAAAATAGAAAAAATAAAGATAATAAAATTAAAAAAAAATAAAAAAGCGGACTTATTCATTGCTCGACATTGCCACAATCCAATCATGTTTATTTCTATGACAAAAAAAAAAAAAATGGCATCAAGTAGAAGAAGAACTAGCTAGAGGAAAATGACATAAGTCTTTCATCGCACTTGAAAAGCAAGCAGGGATAGTCCCACATTTGAAAAATAGCCACATAAAACTTGATCTATTAGCCCATATATAGAGTCCTGTGCTAATTATGGTGGTGGCGTGTAGGTAGGTACTTGCGGTAGAAGTGTAAGAAAGTTATATTAAAATAATGCAAACAGCAGCTCCAGGTACGTGTTAGAAAAGGAAAGTTTTACATTAAAATAATAAAAAAATCTAGTTCTTTCGATCCCGATATATTATTAAATTAAGATCGTTTTGGATGATATCCAATCCGGATTGGACAATTTCGATCTGGATGGGTGATTTTTCAAACACTGGTTTTAAGTTATATATAAATAATGTTTTGGATGATTGACGGAGATTTAGAGGCATGGAAATGATGCTGTAGAAAGGGAACAAATTAAGTTTTTGTTAGGAAGTGAGATTGTGGAAAAGTAGGCCTCATTTCCATAATTTTGATTTTCTTGATTTTAAGTGCCCTAGTCATTAAGCAATCCAAATGATAAATTTTGGTAATATCTAAGATATAAAAAATGGATGCCCCAAAATCCATGTATCCAAACGGTCCCTGAGAATCACTTGATTATTATTTTTCCAAACAAAGTTTTTCTGGATTTGAGTTCTTTTGCAATTAGACCTACTTGTCCAACAATTGGATGATCAACATTCAATTTTGGGATGTTATATTAAGCCCAAATGCGTTTGAATTTTTTATTTTCTTATTTTTTGAGGATAGTAACTAGGTTAAGGTGAAAAAAATCCATAAAACTTAAAATCCTAATATATTATTATATTAAAATTTATCAAAAAAAATAATAAATTGAGGATATCCTCTAATTGAAGATATCCTAAAATATTATTATACAATAAACGAAGTATTTCTACGTGGCACCACCGCCTATAAAAGATTTTTTTTGGGTAAGTACCCACATGTAAAAAACTGTGGCTGCTATTTCTCATTGTCAAGTCTAATGGATGGCCAATGTAGCTTCATTTATAATGTCATTGAGCATCATAGCGCAATCAGACGTTGTTTAAACTTTATATTGTATTTGAGTTTTATTTTTCATTTTCAAAACTATTTGTACATGAAATTTGTGACATATGCCCACTTCAACTAATAAAAATATGCAAAATATTATTTTTTAAATAGGTGGCCTCTAATAAGAAGTATGTAAGCTTGAATTTAATGTGAAAATGATTTCTTTAAAAAAGAAAAGAAGAAAAATACAATGTTTGGTACATCACATTATCACTTAAGTTGTCCCAAATGTCTATTTGGATTCGATGGAGATATTTTGGTGGGTCTTATATTAAGATTTCACATAAAATACTCTTTGGAAGCAATATGAAGTTCACAATCACAATTTTTTTTTAAAAAAAGTAGATGCCAAATATCAATGTCGGCGACATTGATGATCCCACTGTAAAGTCAGTAGGGATAATCGATCATCAATGTGATATTGATCACCCCACTTGCCAAAGCGCAGGCATGTGGGGACTGGTTGAGTTGGTGATCGCTCCTTTAAAACTCCCGTATATTCCTACCTCCCTTTGCATAAATACATGCGCTCCACCATTTAGCAAACAAATCCATTTGGGTGAGAGATTAGTGTCCTCAAGAGCCCCGGTGCATTTGAGAGAGAGAGAGAGGGAGGATGAAGGCATGGTTTCCTTCTGTGTCAATGGTAGGTCAACAAGTGGCCTTTGGGATCTCAAACGTCCTGTGCAAGGCTGCCTTCGAGAGCGGACTCAATTTTTATACCCTTATTGTATATAGGCAAATACTAGCCACTCTTTTGCTATTTCCTGCCGCTTATCTCGTAGAAAGGTAAAACTCCTCTGCTATTTCCCAGTGTTTTGTCACAAAAAGAAAATAGGGACAATCCTTCGGCCCTGCCCGGCCCGGCCCGTTTGGGCCTGTCTTAAAAGAAGTAGTATCTAGCCCTATGTATCCTCTGTCACCTAGAGCCCAACCTCAAAAAATAAAAAAAAATAAAAAAAAAAAACAAAGGAGAAGTCTCATGCTTACCCCTATGTATATGTTTTTTTAGATAATTTAGTGGGAAAGATAGGCCCCATCTGTTTTTTCATAAGATTGGAAACCACAATGTGGTGAGTAGGTACCACCACAACGTAACCCCTTTCCTAACTTTGTATATGTTTGAAAAATAGATAACACCCTATGTTTGAAAAGTGACCATCCTAGTTAATCAAATCTCTGGGATTTTGTTGGCTTGCTCATACAGAGAGTTTCAATCGTGTTTTCTTTTATATTATTTTGGCTCCGTTCTTGCAAAACCACCATATCATTGAACTGCAAAATACAACGTGTCACTGATCATTTTCTAGCTCTATACAAAAACATGGTTTTTTCATCAATTTAGCAGCCTTTGTTGCCTCTTCAACAGAGGGATCCTGGGTTCAATCCGGGGCTGCCCTTTTTGAAGGCCCACATGGACTCGGCTAAGTCCCGAAACATTGCATTGAGCTCTGGTTTGAAGATTTGATGAAAGATATACAGACAAGAAATTGCATTCATTTTGAAAGGTTTGTGATTATGTAGGAAGAGCCGCCCATCTCTAACAAAGCGTTTGAACCTTCAATTGTTCTTGTTGGCCCTCTGCGGGATCACCATACAACAGAATGCTTACTTTCGAGGACTGTCGTACACCACCGCAACAGCAGCGAGTGCCTTGGGAAATCTATGCCCTGCATTTACTTTTGTACTTGCAATTATATTCAGGTATTGCACTCTCCATGCCTCCTCTCTTTTCTATATTATGTATTTGTTTCTTTATTTGCTATTCTTTTCAATAAAACGTCCATGGTTTTTCCTATGTTTTTTTTGTATGGATTTTGATCTGCAACTCTTGGTTGCATAGGCGCTTACGTGTTTTTTGTGAAGATTGGGTAGAGATTCCACCTTTTGCTAATGATTCATGACCCACTACCAAACACTACAAAAGTACAAATTAAAAAATACTACTATAATGACAAGTAGGAGAGTAAAGGAAAATATTTTAATTTCAAAAGAAATTAATGTTACATGTTTAATATAGATGTAAGGAGGTGGATGAAAACGAAAATAGAAATTAAAGAGTGAAAGAAATATTCAATATAATTGTAGAAAATTTATCTAAAATTAGATAAAAAAGTAAATAGTTCAAATCACATGTGTAGTTTGATATACTTCCCATAATCTACATACTTATGTAGAGTTTAGGTGGTTCTTAAAAATCACTATTTTTACATCACAACAAATATGTCAAAATATTGGAGTTATGAATATTTAGAATTTTTGTGAAAAATTTGGAAATTGATCATAAGCTGTTTAAAATGGAAAATCTGCTAGAACAGTACCTCAACTTTTATGGTTTTAAAGCTATTAAAAAAGGAAAATTTCCCCTAAATGAACAATAATTCTCAATTTCCATTCCTACCATTGAACCACATAAAAAGGAAATAAAAATTCAGAAATTGATCATAAGCTATTTTTAATGGAAATTTTTGTAGAACATTACTTCAACTTTTGTATTTTCAAAGCTATTAAAAAAAGAAAAGTACTCATAAATGAACACTACTACTCAATTTATATTTGAAATCTCATTGGGGCACACCTACAAAAATATTTAAAATAATTTTTTAATAAAATATAATGACAAAAATACCCCTAAAATCTTTCAGGGGTATTTTGGTCATTTTACTTTATTGAGAATATTTGTTTTATATATTTTTGCAAGTGCAAGTATACTAGAGAATTGGATGCATAAAATTTAGAGTCAAATTTTTTTATATAAAAAAATTAAAAATAAAATAGTGTAGAGAGATGACATTGTTATTGAGACAATCTTAACATTCCATTCAGAATGGACGGATGGATAAGCGGAAATATATAAGTTTTATGTTATAGGGGAAGCGTAAAAAGCTTTCCCTTACTAAAATAAAACAAATCTAGTTATTTAAAAATTAAAGAAAAATACATTGGAAAGACTAAATTGTATTGTAGACATTGCAAAAACTCTTTGAAAATTAGTCATATCATTGTTTAATTTTTAAAGAGAGAGAGAGAGGGTAGGTAGAGAGATATATAGATAATTAATGGGTAGGAAGTAAGGTAGGGAAAAGGTAATTTAGCCTGTAAAATATTTACTTTTTAATTGGGGTCAAAGCAAGGAAAAACAATGACCGGGTTATGGGTGTGACACTAAAAGTATTGGGGGTAGAATGTCGGGATAGCAATGGGTCGGGTTTGGTTGGACCTGAACCTAGACCCGAATGTATTCGGGTCTTGATTTTGGACAGTGACATGACCCCGTCGGGTCCAAAAGTTGGATTCATACCCGTACCCGTCAGGTTCTGGGTCTATCCTGTCGGGTTCGGGGTTTGTTCGAGTCCACTGCCACCCTCACATGAGTTTCCTTTTTTGTAGCCTACAATAGTGAACAATAGAGAATTGATTTTTGAAGGGGTGGGCGATTAGATAGAGAGGGAGATACATTCGAGATCCAAAGTGACAACTATATGTCTCTAAGAAATTGAGAGATGGAGAATTGTAGAGAGGGAGGATGGCGATGGGGTTTGGCAGTTTGGGGAATCAGGGGAAGACGAAAAGTATTGAAACAATTTTAAGGTTGGGGCTTTGGCTTTTGGGTAAACTAAAAATTCAAGGCCGAGTACCCATTGGGGCGGATATAGCAGGACCTGTATCCGGACCTGGGACTATCCAGGTATCCTTTATTGGACCAAGACCCTACCCGCGGGTCCAAAACTTGGACCCATACCTGGACCCGTGTCGGGTATACCCAGCAGGTATGGGTTGGGTCCAGGTCCATTGCCACCCTAGTAGAATGTCTACAATGTTTATTTTAGGAGGTATCCATAATTTTCCAAAAAAAAAGAAGAAGAAGATAACACAAGGGAATATATTCTACAAAGGCAAATGAGCATCTAAAGCTCAACTCTCAACTCCGCAATTCTTGTTGGAGACTGATTTTCACAATGCTGAAGAATACAATATCTTTGCAAGCGTTAGATACACTGCTCAAATTACAGCACCAACATAAGAAAGAGATTTATTTAACATTCAAAAGAAAAGGGAAAGAAAGGGATTAAAAGAACTCAAACACTGGGAACGATTCAAACAAAATGAAATGAGATGGTGCAAGAAATGAAGTAATATTGGGGAAACGAATTGAACGCAAAACGAAGAATAGATCCAAAGAAAGAAAACATTGGAAAATTGTTTGTTGAAGAGCAAAGAATGAAGGAAACTCACTACTGAAACAAATAATAAAATAGTTATTTTTCTTTTATTTTTGGTTAAACCCTGTTTATCTTAAAAAATTATCTGACACTTTTTTCCCATTCGAATGCAGGATGGAGAGGGCAAGCTTGAAAAGTCCTCTGGGCCAGGCCAAGATATTGGGTACACTAATTTCCTTAGGAGGAGCAATGATTTTCATCTTTTACAAGGGCTATCTACTCCCACCTCTAAGAATCCCATTCATAAAAATAGATCACCATTATTCAATTTCTACTCGTTCAAGACATGGTGTAGGAGAGTGGGTTAAAGGTGCCTTCTTTGTGGTCCTTGGTATCGCTGCTTGGAGTTTATTTCTCATTTTCCAGGCTACAGTGTGCAAGGCTTACCCTGCTCCTCTTTCTATGACGGCATGGATTTCCTTATTCGCTACTTTGCAGTCACTTGCAGTCGGTTTGATCTTGGAGAGGCGGTCAGCAGCATGGAGACTTTCATGGGATGTCAAGCTATGGACCATCTTGTACACGGTAAGGCTAAAGTTATGTTGGACCTCATCCCTTCAAGAAAAGTTTATAGCAAGTTGAAATTTTAGTATTGAAGTAAGATGCACCTCAAAAATTCTATAGAGGAGAGTACTCCAGCATTGGAGAACCCCCCAGCCGGTCATCTTGACCACGAGATGCATGGACATTAAGGAATAAATAATTTTAAGTCCAAACAATAGTACATCCTGTAATAGGTTGTCTAGTCTACCTATTTTTTTAGGTTTTCAGATGTTTATTGATCACTTGATCTATAGTATTTTTGAAATTTTAAATTCTATAGCTATGGATGAATATAGATTTTCAAGCTATCGTATGGTTTTTGATACCGAAACGAATTTTCTTAGCAAATTTAGAAGTGTGCCGTACTTCTATAGTATATGAAAGCAGCCCTATACAAACCTCACCTTTAAGTTAAAGCATATTTTGAATTGGAAAAAGTACATGGTGCGTAAGGGGGGCACAATTCTACAATATCTTCCCTGACGCATTCGACATCGATCGTGTAGATGGATGCCAACCGTTGTAGCCCTCCTAGATTCAAAATTAGGGGTTACAAATGGGCAAAAACTTTATATGCTTTCCCAACAACGTAAAAGTTTTATGCTTCCCCTTATTCAACTGTCCATTATCAATGGAGAGCTAAGATTGTCTTAAAAACAATATTACGTCTCTATACTATTTTATTTTGAATTTTTTTTCTATAAACTATTTTGATATTAAATTTTGGACGTCTATTCCTCTAGTAAACTCGCACTAGCGAAAAATATAAAAAATTATTTTCAATAAAAGAAAATGATAAAAATACCCATCAAAAAACTATTTTTAATATTTTTTATAGGTGCGCCCCCATGAGAAGATGATATGTACCAAATTTCATATTCATACAATTTGTATAAAAAAAACTAAAAATAAAATACTTTGAGATGTCGGATCTAAGATCAAAGGTGAGTGATTCTTTATCAAAATTGGATGGCTGGATGGTAGGGGGAGGATAGAACTTCTATGCTTTAGAGGAAGCATAGAAACCTTTCCTGTCAAAAATTACATTAAAAAATCTCACCTTTTATTTTTATAACAGTCCTTTTTTTTTTTTTTTTTTTTTTTTTTTTAAGATTCATGCTTATCATGGTGTAGATTTTCAATTTAAAAAATTTTAGATCCAAAATCTAGCTTTAAAATGGAATTTGTAGAGTGGATTATTTAAATAGATGAGACGGGGGGCTCATAAAAACCTTCTCCTTTACTTTGGGATTCAAAAGAAACTCGTCAAGGTTTTTTATGACAAATGTGAAATAGTTTGAATCCTTGACCTCTAGGGGCTCATAGAAACCCTCTCCTTTACTTTGGGATTCAAAAGAAGTTAGTCAAGGTTTTTTATGACAAATGTCAATAGTTTGAATCCTTCACCTCTATCACCCGAATTCATAATTTTTTTATTACCATTGATTAATACTTTTTTAAAAAATATTAAAGGGCAATGATTATATGCAATGGTTGTGTGGTAATATGATGCAACAATCTTCAAAAGTCATGTTATGACTATGTGTTTGATCCAAAATTTGAAGTATACACTTTTTTCATTCTAATGAACAATCATAAAAAATAAAAATTTGAAAACACAACTTAGAAAGTATTGTTTTAGCCCAAATAATATAGGTCGTTCATTTTAGTAAGATGCTTAGATCTAGGCCTTAGAAGAAGTTTTTCATTTCCAATTTTTTTGGATGGCTTTATTACCATTAGATGAACAATGAGAAAAAAGAAAAAAATGATTTTGAGTTTATAAAGGCTAAGATCTTGAAGTTCACTAAATGAATGGTCTAGATTCGTTTTTGGAGGGGACTCATTTTGACCATTTTTAGGGTTCAAGTTGAACTTTTTTTTTTGGGATTGATTATTATGATGAAGAGAGTGCATACAAAATTTTGGGTCATACATATACCACAAATATAGTTTTCTAGAAGTGTTGTTGCATTATACTATGATACAACCGTTGCATGAAAGCATTGCCCAATATTATAATATTTACTATTTACGTTTAAAAAAAAAATTGGAGAGAAAAAAGTTATTTTTCAACGGATTACGAATAATTCCCCTATCTGCAAGATATTAGGGGTTGCTTTTCAGAGATTTTAAAAAGAAAAGCCGAACATTGGAGAATTGCCTCCTCCCATCTCTATATTAATTAGGGTTTTATAGCCATGAGATAACACACACAAAAAAGAAAATCTTTTTTCAATCGTTCTTGAAAAACCCTGGTTCTTTGTGATATACAGTCTAATGAATGTTGCCCATCAAGATCTGAATTTGTTTGGATAGTTCTCATCTCCTTCTCAACAATTTGTGATTGGTACAAGGAGGTCATAATCTTTTTTAGTTATTAGATGTCATATAATATGAAAGTTGACAGCATATGTATAGCCATATTAAGAAAAAGGGCTTAGTGTTGGTCTGATGTTAAAGGCATCAGACTGGCCAAATTCTTATTTATTTATTTTTAATACAATATGATGTTTGCAACATTAGACTTGGTAAAAAAATGAAATAAAAAAAGGCAAAAAAGAGAGGTGGGTCAACCCTTTAAATTACCAAAAATTTGGACCATACCAAAATTATAATTAATAAATAGGGTTGCTAATGGATTGAGTGGTCCTGCTCGGTCCAGTCTGCTCAGCCCATTAAACAACAACTTGGGCCAGAAAATGTGGCTGAAGGATTGGCCCACCATGGCTCGTGGAAAGGCCCGGGGGACCTAAGACATCTTTGTGACAAGGCCGGCTTAGTTCAGCTCTGCCTAGCCCTTTCATTTATTGTTTTCCTTTCTTTTAGTTTTGTATTTAGCCCTATCTGGCCCAATCTTGAAGGCCAGGCCTAGGCCAAAGCCTTTTCAGGCTAGTCAAATCTGGTCAGGGCTCTGACTAGCCCAATAAGGACTAGAGCCAGGCTAAGGCTAGGTCTAGCATGGCCTAGGTCAAACCCATTGCTATCCCAAAAAATAAATGGGTCCATAATTTTTCCTTGAATTTTAAAAAGGAAAAAGTTTATATGAGGTTGCAACCTTACCTCTATAGTCCGGATGCACCTCAAAAATCCATCGGAAAAGGTAGTTTTAATGTTGAAAAACCCTTAGATTGATCATCTCGACATCGCGATGTATGACCATGAAAAATAAAAAGATTTTAAATCTAAAAAATAGTTCATTTTACAACATATTATCTACACCATCCATTTTCAAGGTTTTCATATGTATATAGATCTACTTGATTTTAACCATTTTTGAAATTTAAAATTTTATAATTAGATATAAAAATAGATTTTGAAATAATCCTAATAACCATTTACATCAAAATTATACACCATGATAAAATTTGAAGGTGTACCTTACCTCTAGAGCTACGGATGCATCCGTATGGCAACTGCACCCTTTTAAAAAACGAAAGATTGCACCATCCCTAAAAATTAACGGGTCCATAATTTTTCCTTGAAGTTTAAAAAATGGAAGATTGCACACATGGTAGTTATCACATGAAAATTCGGCTGCTTTTAACATTTAGCAAGAAATCTAGAATTTGACTTATCATAAATTGACGATAGAATACGGCAGCCGCAAGAGAGCACACTTGTTTTGACTCAAGTTTGCCGCTTATACGTGCCGTTAGGGGTCAATTACCCTATGAGCAGTAAATTATGAGCACCACCTCCACTTTGTCCTGGTTTTTTTTTTTTTGCCCCCCTGTTCGGCATTTCATATGCCAGATAGGAAGAGGGTTAATTTTTTTTTTTAAATAAAAAAGCTGTCCGGTGTTTGAATTACAATACAGCTCTCCAAGGGATTCCTCTTATCAGGCGAAACTAGAGACGAAGAAGGCTTTCTAGAGATAGAGAAATAAAGAGGTTAGCACTTGGGAGGGGGAGAAGTTAGGGGAGAAAGAGAGGGCAATAGTAGCATAGAAAAGCTTGAGATAGAGGGAAACATGCAGAGACATAGAGATGTTGGATCTTAATAGAGGAGTTTTAGAGAGAGAAGGGAGTTGTTTTTGTAAGTGGTGGATACCTTTCTTGTTGCCCCTTTTGTGCGTATGTGGAATACTCATTTCAGAGGAGGCATTTTAGAGAGAGAAAGGAAGGTGCTTCACAAAGAGGATTTTTTGGAGGTGAGAGAAAGCTTCACCTCCTTGCCCAACCAACCCATTTAAAAAATCAACGGCTACCAATAAATTAAATTTCAATGTGAGCTGACACAGAGAAGGCATTTTAGACAGAGAAAAGGATTTTTTACATGTTTCTTTCTGATTCACAGAGGACATTTTTAGAGAGAGAAGTAGGGGTTTTATTTAGGGACACCAAGTGCCTTAGGGACATCAATCCCCATTTGGAGACACAGGATTTTAGAGAGAGAAATAAGTTTTTTTTTCCTTAGTAGGTGAGAAGTGTTGGGCTTATGTGTTCTTTAAAGGCTTTATGAGTGCTTGTAAAATGAAATAATATAGCAGAACATGAACTCAATGGGAGTGTGGTCCCTTGTGAACCATACTAAACAAATGATGTTTGCTAATACTGGACTGTGCTGACGATCTAGGTCAGTCAGTTGGAAAACCCAAGGTATCTGGGCATAGAGAACAAGCCAAGAAGGATTTTGGATTATCTCTTGATGAGGTTGGAGGTTATGCTTGGATGAATGAGCCGAGGGACTGTGTGACCCTTGTGTGTGATAGTGGGTGTATAGAGATGAGGGCCAAAACCTCATCCATAATCCATCACACGACATGCATATCGATAATCCATCACGACATAGGGTGAAACGTATGCATGTCCGAGAGATACTCCTATACGTCATAAAGCTGTGGTCGCATAAGGTCTTGGTGACCTTGACTCTTCTCTAGGGGAGGATATGAAATCTACAGACTGATATTGCGACCCCATGACTCATCAACCAGACTTTGGTGACCCGCTAATGAGCCCCTGATTGGATTGTGGGTCATGAGAAACACTTGGTCGGTCTGATAAAGCAAGTATGATCCGTAGTCCACAGTTGAAAGTGGAGTGTCACATGATTGGTAATTCAATTCTTAAACCATATGGATCTATTTTCCATCATATTAATTTAATTGTATTTGTTTTATGATAGAAATTGTTTTAGAATTATTATTTGAATTTTTATGAGTCTTTTGATATTTTATTTATAGTTTTTGGATTTATAAAAATAAAGTTATTGATTTTATAAAAATATAAAATTCAAATAATATTTTAGAAATTAACTTGTTATATATCATGGGAGCCCATAGTGCACATGGGCCCACCACGTACCATGTGGGTAGGGCCCACACGTGCCACACATGGGTGGCATGCCCGACCTCTTGGTTGTTTGCTTTGTTGTCAAGTTATTCAAATTTAGGAAATGTATCTTGTGGCATGTGATCTAATATTAGATATGAAAAAGATTGACAACAACTTATCCTAAATATTGAAAGCGTATCTTGAATTGACATATCTTTGAATAGTATGAAAAAGAATATGCTATTTTATCGAATGAATAATATTTAAATAATATTCAATTTATTTAAATATACTGATGGGAAAATGGCTTAAGGAAAGGGGGATAATAGTCAAAGTGCCTTCCATAATGTTGATGGCCCATTTACGAAATAGATGACTCAGATCTCTCACCCCACAAGTCACATTGATCAACAGTTCATATTCAATCTCAAAGAAGAGACAAACTATGAGAAACCCTAAACCTAATTTTTCTCTATAAATAAGGGTGTACCCTCTCTTTATTCTCTACACTTTTCTCTCTCCCACAACTCTCTCTCTCCTCTATCTCCCATAAGGGCATGCCCCACTCTCTCTCCTCTGGGTCTCTCTCTCTCCAACTTTCTCTCTTAATCTTCTCTCTCCTAAGCTTCTAAAGGGGCACACCCCAACCCTAGGTCTCCCATTTTTTCTCTCATGCTTTATAAATACTAAGGGTTGGGAAATTAGGAGTAAGCCTAGAGATTTAAGGGTGAACATTTAGCTTGGCCGAAATTTGCTTTTTCGGTTTGAGATTGAAGCTAAACTGTTGATCCCGTGCCATCGAATGTTAGTGACTCGGTGTGGGGTGTAATAAACCTGGTTGAGGTATTTTTCGGCACTCTCTTTTTTTGTTTCTTGCTATATTTAATTATATTGATTTTATATTCCCAAGCATAATAATTGTGGATATTTTCTTTGTTTAAAGAAAATTGGTTTAATGACATCAAGGTTTTTAAGGTTTTGGATTTGTTAGTTTTATATTATTTGAAGTTAGAATTATTGTAAGTGATCTTTGCCAAAAGAAAAGAAAAAGACAAAAAAAAAGGTAAAAAGCAGAAAAAAAAAAAAAATTTCTCCGACAAGATCGCATTAGTCTTTCTTTCAAGAAGCTCCTCCACTTGTCCTACCAAGAAGTTTCTACTAATCAATCCTCATTCTAGAGAGAGAAAGTGAGGCTTCATAGATAGGAAGCGCCTCCTCATATTAGAAATAGGGTCTTTTAGAGAGGGAGAGAAAGATGGCCTTTTAGAGAGAGGAGATCTTTTTTAAGTCTATGAGAAATCCCCAAATATCCTAATTTCTCTCTCTATGACCTGCACCCCCTCTCTCATATCCTAACCAACCCAAGGCTCGCACCCAAATGAACCCTCTCCTCTCCATAGCCCATCACCATCAACCCAAGGTAGAAACCTCTCTGGAAAACTACTCCCTCACCTCCCTAGAAAAGAGCAAGAGAAAAGAATAGAAAAGAGGGAGAGAGAAGCGAAAGTTTTAGAAAGTTAAATAGCTGTTTGATATTTTAAACACCGAACAACAAACTCACCGAAGTTTAAACGGATGCCCCTTATCCAATGTTTGTATTCCTCGGAGAGAGGGGCAATTTAAAAAAAATAATTTGCCACAGGAGGGGGGGAGGGTGCTCGTAATTTTGAGCAAATGAGTGCTCATTTGTTAATTGACCCCTCCCAATAGTGTCCGTGCGTAATTTGCTCCTTTCTTTACAAATCTACAAACTAAACCTTATGGTAATGTGCCCCAAGTCTATAGTGGACCAAATTTGAGAAACAAGACCTTTTTACATTTCCGGAGCAATCACCGCTTGCTTCAGCTTTTTTATGATGGAGTATACATAAGAGGGCCTAGGCCAGGGCCGGTCTGGCCCAACCCTTGTCCTTGTAGGGTAGGGCCAGGCCTAGCCTTGACCCTTTTAAGGCCTGGCCGGGGTTGGCAAAAAAACAAATGAAAAAAGACAAAACAAGAAGAAAAGAGGGCCGGGACAAGGCCAAATGCAAATAAAAAAAAGACAAAAGAAAATCGAGAAATAAAGAGGGATGGATTGTGTCGAACTAGGCTGGCACTAGCCATAGCCCTAGCCCGGCCATCGGGGCCGGGCTGACCAGGCTGGGTCGGGCCTTGGCCAATTGCAACCCCTAAGTCAATGTGCCTTTGCCAATCCTATTTCTAATGCTAATAATTATTGGGTTATTCTAGAATATAACACACCGATGAATTTAGAATTTACGGCATCAATTTCTTTTACCATAACATGCCCTCATACTTAGAATTTACTACCCTAAATTTTTTTACCATAACATGCCCTCATGTGTTCAAAGATGGCCTTTAATATTAAATAGTTTATGTACTTTAAATATTAGACTTACAAAATAATTCAAAAATTAATATTAGACTTCAAAAATAATTCAAAATTAAAATATCAATTTTCAAAACTTTCAAGCAAATCATTATTAAATATTTTCCAGCAAACCATTATTAAATATTAATTTTTATTTTTCTAAAAGTATTTTCTTGTCAAAAATTTCGAAGTACAAAATTGTAAATTCACAATTAGTGTGGTGTATCCTAGAATAACCCTATTTTACCATCCTAATACATGGGAGGCCGAGGTAGGCAAAACTATAAACTACAAACAATAAAAAGTAGGACTTAAAAGAGAAAAAAGAAAAAGGGAAACAAATAGCCCTAAAAAATTTCTAGGCTTGCATTTGTAAGGTCGTCGGCCCGAAGACTTCTCAAGAGAAACTAGGGACTGGGCTCCCAATAAAAAAGAATTCTAATTTGAATTTTGGGAAATACCTGGTAATGGAAGCTTCAATAATAAGGGTATCTGGTTCCATATCGTATATCTATATCGTTAAATTACTAGGCCGGCCGGACTATTTTCAGGCTTTATCAGGCCTTGAGCCAGGCCGTCCCCCATCAGGCCCGGTGGGAGTCCTAAGTCATCGTCTTTTCCCAAGAACTTGGATACGTAAACACTAATTTGAAATGTATGTAACAGGGGATTGTTATATCAGCAATTGTGTACTATGCACAAATGTGGTGTATTGTAAAGAAAGGTCCGGTCTTCGCTGCCATGTTCTACCCTGTCATCTTAATCTCTGCGGCACTACTTTCAGCCATTCTATTTCTCGAGCGCCTTCACTTGGGCAGGTCCGTAATTTACCACTTTCCTATAAGCATAATGGAATATTATTTGGAAATGTAGTGAAATTATCTATTTCCTCCCTTGGTATACTTTTTGTATCTCAAATTTTGGAGTTGTCATCTTTACAACACATTAAATAGTCCCACGAAAAAAAATGAAAAAAAAGCCTAAACTCTATGTCCTAGAAAATATTTATGCCCCAAGATTGATTAGAAATTGTCCAATTTTTGAAGGGCTAGATTTCAGTATCAAAAAGCTTAAAATTCAAATTTGTTCTTTTAGAAATAATCATCTAGTAATTATTATGTATTTTCCAAAATTTTAGACTAAATAAATTCTCCCAAGTAGGTGTTTGGGGCGAGAGAGGAGATACACAGTATCTTTTCTAAGGAGCATCGTACATGAGCTCAAGAAAGCATACAAAGATACCATTTAATTTTTTTTTACCTGGAGGTTAAAATCACTCTTGTCGGTCAGATTTCAAATTAGGTAGATGTAATATTTCCATTGACTAGATAAAAATGTCTAAATAATAATAATATATATAGATATATTTTGAACTTTTTTACGCACACCAAGCCATCCTTTTATTATTATTATTAATGTTCATCCCCAACCATTTTATTTGACATTGAATGACTAAAAGTAATTATAATCACTTTGTAACAAAAGATAAAATATTTAATAGCATGCAATCCCATCTTATTTTGTTTTGCAAATATACCATGGCATTAGCACAAGGTTGTGCTAAGAATATCGCACCGGCTGAGCTCATTTATAGGCCATTAATTTTGTCAAGCTCTCCTGCCCCCAAGTTGAGGAGCGTTACTATTTGTTTCATTAAATATTTAAAGTTGTCAGAGCAGCTCTCATTGAAGGAAAGATGCAATAACGAAAGGACCCGGTTTCTATGTGGCAAGTCCGTATATATGGAAATGCGGGCCTTTTAATAAATTTATTTTTTAGATGAATTTTAAGATATAATTTTTAAATATATGTAATCTCTAATATGGAGATCATGAATATGAAAAAATAAATAAATTTTAAAAACTAAAAATAATAATTCTAGTAAGAAAACATTTGGACAGTTAGTTTCTATTGTTTTTAGATGGAACACCTACTTGTATCCATCTTTAAGATGGATGCTTTGTACTTTCTTTCTGGACCGCATATGTAGAAATACAGTCCAGCACGCATGAAACAACTTTCAATAATGAAATATTTGAACGATTGTTTCGCGCGTGTTGAACCGCATTTCTACAATTTGCGGTCTCAAGGTATAAATCATCCATCTTAAAGATGGATCCAAATAGCTGGTCCATCTAAGAAGACTTGTAAGTAACTGACAAAATGTTTTCTTCATAATTATTAGTTCTAGTTTTCAGATTTTTTTCTTCTTCATATTCATGATCTCTAAGTTAAAAATTATATGTACTCTAAAAATTAGGATCAAATTATATTTAAAAAATATATTTATTGCCAAGCCCGCATTTCTATTATATGCGGGCTGGCTGCATGCTAACCGCATCCGAAATGTTTTATGAAATTTTTAGCTGGCGAATATTAAAACGGCCCAACTAAAAATTTACATGGAAAGTTTGGTCCAAGCTTAATCATGGGCTAAGTTGCTGGTAAGGCCAACCATGGAGTTTTTGCTGGTTACTCGTGCTCAAGCTTAATTAAAACTGAATCATAGCGGAATAGGTCTGCAAGTGATAGTTTAAAGTTAATTTCAACTCAAGAAACTTTGTATTTTCAATATTCAACCTCCTTCACATTTTCGTCTAATAAAATATAATGAGGAAGGAAGTTGAATTGGTTCTTGCCAACCCAACCCAACCCAACCCCTCCCCTATTGTTAGGGCTAGGATCTGGTAGTTCAACTGCGCCAGCCTTTCTAGGGCCTACTACCAGCCCTAGGGGCTTAGCTAGATGGCCTGCTTGGCCCTGGCACTTTTCGGGTCACGCTAGGCTTAATGGTAATTTTTTCATGAAAATCATAAGGAAATAAAAACCCCACCTGGATTAGGTTAGATAAGCTAGGCCTCCGCCCATCCCAGCCTTGCCCTTTGGACTAATAATGTTGGCGTTGTGTGGCCTTTCAAAGCCTTGACACTTTCGATATGTTATGATTCTTGACTCTAATGGGAGTTTAGGACCCAAAAGGAATTCGTGTGACTCGCCAGGTGTTATTGACTAGGGCTATGTTTGCCCAATCGCTGGCTTTTGTTCCCTACACACAAAATGTACACAATGCATCGGTTTTTGGTACCAAGAAGAAAAACCCAAACCTATCAATCCATTTTAATCTTTGAACCCCTGGTTGCCATCAAGGGAGTAGCTAGTAAACTATGGACGAAGCTGGTTTGTTTAAAAGCTTTCAAGTTTTGCAATTTTATTAAAAAAAGGTCTATATTTGTTGTCACTTATTTATGATTTGAATTTTTTCCTTTTCTTATTTTCTAATTTTTCATTTTCTGGTTGATTTTTATATTCTTGGTTCATAAAACCTGAATATACTGCCTTCAACCCGCCAAAGTACAATAGAGTTTCTCTGGTCCCGCCAAATGAAGGCGGCAGTGAAATGAATCTGTTCATATTGTATCACTATCCAATTAATGGGGCAATCAAATGGTTGCGCAGTGATTAAGAAAATCGATTAATGAAAAACCTTTGGCGGGACCCGTTCTCGCTCCATCACTATTCAAGTCAGTAATGAAGTGCGGTTACAGTGGTAGCATGTGACCTTCAACTATTGGTCCAGGACTTACCCAAAAAAAACTAACGGTCCAAGCTTCCATTCTCACTATACATTCGAAAACCACTTGCTATTCCCAAAAGAAAGGGTAGGGGCCTATAATCCCCACTAATCTACTCCAAAAAAAAATAAAAATAAAAATAAATAAAATAAAATAAGGGTCGTTGATGACGTTATGATGGCTATTATGTAGAGACTTAAGATCATTTTACCTAAAGGCATAGTCACTACACTGAAAAGTTGTTTCCTTATGAGCATAGGAAAATGCGCTTTTTGTTTAAAGAAATATATCACTGGTACGTTTGTGGTATACTAAGGGCCCGTTTGGTTCCCAATACGTGGGTCTCTCATGCCTCTGTCAACCCATCTCTTCTCACAAAGTAGATTTCCCTCTCTCTTTGGTCTTTCTATATTTTTGAAACCTCTCTATCCCTTTCTCTCCCTGAAAATTTATAATCTCTATCTCTATCTTTTCTAGTCTCTCTCCCACTCTATTCCCCCTTCTCTTTCTCTCTAACCTCTCTCTCTTTTACTACTTTATTTGTAACCACTTATCTCTCTGTAACCTTTGTCCACCCCCCCTCTCTCTCTCATACAGTGGATTCCCTCCACCCCCCTTCTCTTTCTCTATAACACAAAAAACACCTACAAAGTTTACCCTCAATCCCTTCTTTTCAATAAAAAATTGTTTCTAATCCTTTGGAGGGAGACAATGAGATAAATGGTTGATATGGATGAAATGTTTGTTGAGGATTGATGTATTGTATTATGAAGAAATAGATTTGTCAAGGTAGAGTCAAAAGGACGATTCCGGCGGGCTTGAGGCCCGAAAGAGTGTTAGCCTAGGTAGACTTGGTTGACTGGGCTCTTGTGGGGGTTCGAGAGCAGTAGCCTTCGAGAAAAATTTCGGATATCCGTACATGAGATTTGATATATTTGGAATTCTAGATATATCTGTATTTGGGGTATTTCGGTAATTTGTACCATTTATCTGGGACTTAATATATATTATTGCGACTCGATATACATCGTTGCGATTTGATATATATTGTTCCGATAGGGGTTTATTAAGGGTTAAGGAAAAAACGTTGATTTCTTGGTAATCAGAAAGAACAAAGATGTGTGAGGAAGATAACTATTGTAACCCTATTCTCTATTGCCAGTAAATAAGCTCTCATCTCCCGTGGACGTAGGCACGTTGCCGTACCACGTATATTTTTGTGTTGTGGTTTGTTGTCTCTTTTTTTTTTATTTGCTTGTCCTTTCTTGTTATCGTGGATTGTTTTTCGTTTCTACAATGTTGTGCTCAAAGATAGTAACACTCGTATCATGTTTAGTAAACAAAAAGTCAATTACTAATTCAGATTTGGGCCACAAATTTAGTGAAATATTTGATGCGAAATATGTTTCATTGGTGTAACCCCGTTCAATTAATTTGTTGTTATTTGAGTTCAATTATGTGTAACAACATTAGAAATTGGAAGACAAACTCGACAATTTTAAAAACTTTCCATTTATTCTTCATTTGTACAAATTACAAAAAATATTGCAAAAATCCACCTACAATAATAATGTAAACACTATCTAAAAAATAATAAGAAGTACAAATACTGGGAATGGTAAATTTCTATTTTTGAAAAGCAAGGATACAATAAATTTATGATTTTATAAGATATACATATTCTAAGCAATGCAAACATTGGACACACATCTTCTAGGTCGCTTATTAAATGTTATCCTAACAACAAACACCCACATTCCATGAGATACCAATTCTAAGAGAGGTATCACCCATTTTCAAGGAACCAAATGGAGGGCTTTCCCAAGAGCTACATGTTCACCACTTTTCCATGAAACGAAAATGGGAAGGTGGCGGTCCAGTTGACCCACGAAACAAACATGTTCTTTGTTGTTTAGAATCATCTCTTGATTTTGCTTGATGTAGATCATAGTTATTAAGTGGGAAATTGAGAATATATTTCTAAACCAGTCTTAACACTGGTAATATACCAATTTTTGTTAGAAAAATCGGGTGTAAAAAATTAAGGCAAGAATATCAATATCCAAAAACTAGATAAGTTACATAATGCCGAATAATTCAAATTTAACAAAAAAAGGCAAGGTGAAAAAATAGGATATGTAAAGATTACATATGATAAATTTATGAAGTGTAGTTATTATAAAGATATATAAATTCACTGAACAATTGGTCTATGTTCTTACTTCGTATCACTCTCATATGTGACTGATTGTCTGAATTTTCATTGAATGCAACAACAATGCTTTATTCAGTATAACAAAACAAAACTTACAATGATTTTCTTGAGAGTGTACAATAAAAAAGAATAACAATCCTAAACATAACCATTACATTAACAAACAACAAAAGGGCTTAGGATTACTAATAAAAGTAAAGACCCTCAATATTGGATAACAATTAACTACAAAATAACAACCAGCCCATCCAAATTATTTTGTTTTATACATTAATAAATAATAAAAATTCCAAAAAGGTGAAGTTAATCAGATTTCTTGTATATACAAACAAAATAACAAAAGATTTACTGGTATTGAACAATATGCATAAGCAAAGCAAATATTCAAACCTCAACCTAATTCCCATGCCCAAATCTTTGTTTGTGATTGAATCTCTCTCTCTCTCTCTTCGTAATGATGCTCTTGGTTTAGGGAAACATGATGGTTCCATTGAGTTATTATTCGGCTAATTCTATCGATTATCTTGAGATATATAGTTATTTTACAAGTTCTTTGAAATGGATATAATATTGTCTTTATTTTTTAAATAAAAATTTTGAATGGAATATACAAGTTAATAAGTTTTATGATTTTTTTTTTTCTAAATCTAGTTCTTAATTTAATCCTACTTGTGATTCCAGTACCAGAACTCGATGGTATCAAATCAATGAAAATAAATGATGTTTAAAGGAAGTCACAAGGAAGAGTTTTTCAAAAAGAAACAAAGTACACATTTACATGGGTTTCACAAAAAGAAAAATGTTCCAAGTGTCGGGGGACATATTGGTGTCCACCGAGGCATAAATCTTAAAGATGGATGCTAATGTGCGGTCCTTTCCAAAAAAAATAATGTTAAACGCAATAGTCAACATATTTCTTCATGCAATTATCAGTTTCTAAAATTTATTTTTTTTACATATTTACGATCTCCATATTAGAGATTATACATTCTTTAAGAATTAGGTCCAAAATCCATCTCAAATCATACGAGTCTTTGGACTCATAGAAATCTTATCCTTCATAAAACATGCAATATCTTAATGATCTTTGAACAACACGACATTTTTCAAAAAATATCTAAATTTGTTGTCTAAATATGATGTAGACTAATGTAATTTATCTGTAGTTTGATTGGAGCATGCGTTATAGTCATCGGCTTCTACTGCATTTTATGGGGAAAGAAGGACGAATGCCGGCACCGTACATCATTAGAAGACCCAAATCACAACTTGCAAGCAATTGAAGAACTAACGCCTAAGGAAATTGCTACCCCATGATTGGGTCCTGCTAATCGCACGTACTTTGATTCTATGCTTTATAAGGTCTCTTTGAATGCACTGCTTACTGTTGGTGTTTATGTTATAATGGTATTTTTACTTGAAATAGAAGAAAGTAAGCTTGAATTTTGTGTTTTACCTGGTGTTTGCAAAATCAAACAGGAATGGCTAACCGGACTTGGGCCTGGAAGCGGTTTAACCGGCCTAATTATTAAATTGGCCAAGTCAACCACTCTAACTGGACAAGTCTTGGGCGGTAAAAAAAGTGTTGAAAAAAAATACAAAAAAAAATCTACTAAAATATGAAAAGCATATAAAGAATTACTAAAATAAAACACATTCAAATGAAGTTGACAATTAATGAAAAAAATGGATATTAACCTATTTTATATTAACCCATTCTAAAATAGATGAGAAAATATAAAAGTGAGTATTAATAACCAATTTTTATTTTAATCTTTAGCATAATATAAAGAATATTTAAAAATACAATACAAATCAAATTCCTTATTTTTGAGAATTTATATATATTTTTTGAATATTTTTTTTAAATACCGATTGATCGCCCTAACCGCTCAAATTCAGAACCGACCAATGGCTGGTTCCTATCTAACTGAGCAATTAGCGGTTAGATCGAGCGATTTTACGAACAATAGTTTTACCTTGTTTTCAACAGGGTTTTGGCTCTTTGAATGCTTAGGCATACATAAGCGCAAGTGGTAACCAATTTTAATTGAAACCTATCATATCCTCTCAAGACAACATTTTTAATTTTCTTCTTTAAAAAGTCCAGTAAAATGGAGAAATATGTAATATTTAAACTCTTCAAACTAATCTATAACGTCAGTTAGCTAATTAGCAACTCATAACACTGAATTGCAATGGATATAATGGGTGTTCCGTATTATATACATTAAAATGTTGAATAAATATAACGGGTACAAGTGGACTAATTTTCAAAGGCAATAGATCTTATGGACCCCTGGGCTCAAGGAAAGACTACATGCCCACAGCCAACTTTAGGGCATGTTTGATACGCATGAAAATAACGTACGTAGAAGATTTTTCCATGGAAATTTTTTTATCACAAATTGGACCAATTTATGTACAAATAGAACTGCATCGCATGAGGTGGGAAATTTTAATGAGAAAAATTATAAATTTTAATGAGAAAAATTATATCCAATTTTAGAGAGAGAAACTGCCAAAATTTTTTAGATAGAGAAACTATCTCAAATTTGAAGTTTTAGATAGAAAAAGTATCTTAAACATTTGGAGAGACAAAATATATAAGATTTCAGAGAGAAACTATTTAAAAATTTTAGAGAGAGAAAATATTTTTAAATTTTAGAGAGAGGAAGTATCTTAAAATTTTAAAGAGAGAAAGTATATTAAATTTTAGAAAGAGAAACTATGTTAAAATTTTTAAAGGGAAATCAAATTTCAAGTTTTAGAGAGAGAAAGTCTATTAAAATTTTAGAGAGATAAACTAATCAAATTTTACAAAGAGAAACCACCTAAAAACTTTTAGTTAAAAAATTTTAGAGAGAGAAAATATCTCAAAATATTTAGAGAGAAACAACATTAAATTTGAAGTGTTAGAGAGATAAAGTAACTGAAAGTCTAGAGAGAGAAAGTATCAAATTTTAGAGTGAGAAACTACTAAAAACTTTTTATGGAGAGAAACTATCTCTAAATTTTTAGAGGGAGAAGCTATCTCAAATTTTAATATTAGATAAAATATCATAAAATTTTAGAGAGAGAAACTATATAAAATTTTATAAAGAGAAACTACTTGCAAATTTTTTGGGAGAGAAATTATCTCAAAACTTCTAGAAAGACAAACTATCTCAAAATTTAAGTTTTAGATAGATTAAGTATCTTAAATTATAAAGAGAGAAACAATATCAAATTCTAGAGAGAGAGAAAATAGATGAATAATTTAGGGAAAAAATATCTTAATGTTTTCCGAGAGGAACTATATCAAACTTTAAATTTTAGAGAGAGAACGTTTCTTACAATTTTAGAGAGAAATTACATCTAATTTTAGTGAGAGAAACTACCTAATTATTTTTTAAGAGAGAAACTATATCAATTTTTTAAGTTTCAAAGAGAGCTTAGAAAGAGAGACTACATCAAATTTTAAAGAGTGAAAGTACCTGAAAATTTTAGAAAGAGAGATTATATATCAAATTTTAGAGAGCAACCACAAGAATAGTTTCAGTGAGAGAAACTATCTCAAAATTTTTTAGAGCGATACACTGTATCAAATTTTAAGTTTTCGAGAGAGCAAATATCTTAAAATTTAAGAGAGAAATTATATCAAATTTAGAGAGAGAAACTACCTAAAATTTTTTCTGAAAGAGAAACTGTCTCAAAATTTTTAGAGAAAAACTATATCAAAATTTGAAGATTTAGAGAAAGAAAATATCTAAAAATTTTAGAGATAGAGACTATATCAAATTTTAGAAAGAAAGTACATGAAACTTTTTGATAAATAAAAATTATATCAAATTTTAAGTTTTAGAAAGAGAAAGTATCTCAAAATTTTGGAAAGAGAAACTATATCAAATTTTTGAGAATGAAACTACCTGAAAATTTTGATAGAGACAAAGTATCCCAAAAGTTTTAGAGTGAGAAATTATCTCAAAATTTAAATTTTAGAGAGAGTATCTTAAAGTTTTAAAAAGAGAAGCTATATTAAATTAGAGAGACAAACTACCTAAAAATTTTAGAGAGAGAAAACATCTCAAAATTTTCAGAAAGAGAAAATACATGGAATTTTAAGTTTTAGAGAGAAAAAATACCTTAAAAATTTAGAGAGAAAAGCTATATCAAATTTTATAGCGAGAACTACTTGAAAGTTTTTAGCGAGAGAAACTATCTCAAAATTTTTAGATAGAAAAACTATATCAATTTTTTAAAGTTTTATGCAGAGAAAGTAACTTAAAATTTTTGAGTAAGAAACCATATCAAATTTTAGAGATAGAAACTACATAAAATTCTTTAAAAAGAGATATTATCTCAAAAATTTTAGAGCGAGAAATTATCTCAAATTTTAAATCTTAGGTAGAGTATCTTAAAATTTAGAAAGAGACTTATATCAAATTAGAGAGACAAACTACTTGAAATGTTTTCGGGAGCGAAATAATCTCAAAAGTTTTAGACAGAGAAACTATATCTATTTTTAAGTTTTAGAGAGAGAAAGTAAGTTAAATTTTTTGAGAGAAAAAGTCTACCAAATTTTATAGCAAGAACTACTTGAAAATTTTGAGACACAGGAACAATTTCAAATGTTTTAGAGAGAAACACTATCTCAAAGTTTGTAAGTTTTATACATAGAAAGTAACTTTTAAATTTTGTGTGAAAAACTACATCAAATTTTAGATATAGAAACTACATAAAACTTTTTAGAGAGAAAGAATATTTCAAAATTTTGAGATAGAAACTATCTCAAATTGTAAGTTTTAAGGAGAAAATATTTTAAATTTTTAGCAAGAGAGACTACATCAAATTTTAGAGAGAGAAACTACCCAAATATTTTTATAGAGATAGTATCCCATTGCATACATGGAACTTTGATATTTTTCAGAAACTTGGGAATATCAGTGGTGAGTTTGTTAGTATACATCAGACGGGTCTTAATAGTGGTGATCTGTCTTATTTTTAGATGAGGATTAATAGGAATTCATTATCACCAAACGTTAAAGCTATCCGATGTTCTGTTCAAGGTGATGATTTCTTAGTCAGAGTTCAAATTGAAGGTCTAAGAAATGATATTCAACCAGTTGTGCCTGTGCGTTCTGAAGTTAATGAGGAAGTCATTCATTGGGTGGTGGAACCGAAATGACAGACAGTATGCAGAAAAGGATGGTATGTGTCTAAAAGAAAGTTTGTAGTGAGCGAAGGAAATGGGGTAGAGTTGCAGCGAACAATGGAGTTCAATAGCCATACATGTGTCAATTGGGTTAACGATAATTTGAATGGAAGTTAGTGACAAAGATCAAAAAGATTTGGGTACTAAAAATTAAGCAGGTTATTATGGGTGACGGTTTTACAAATTCGAATATATTTGACCAAGATGGCATTCAAAGCAGGGAGGTGGGGCCTACGAGTTACAATGAAGATGATGGAAAAGTCTCTACTCATGATAGAGACAAAAGCAAGTATCTTGAGGGTGGTTGAGAGAAAGTACAATGTGAGGCTTTGGTTGGCAAGGAGATTTGCATGGGGGATTTACTTGTCCCTATCAATCATTCATCTTTTAAAGGGACAAATGTTTGCCCATTGGTTGAAGGGGTTCGTTGGGGATGTAGCGATGCATTACTTAATGGGTATAAGGGGGACCTTGGGCAAGGTGGGGGGTTCTAGTAGAAAGGTTCGAATAGAAAGAGTTTCATCTATGACTTTCTCTCTTGCAGTGCTCCTCTTTTTTCTCTGACTCTATAAAGCCATTGCGTTAGCTCTTGTTGCTATGTGATGGAGAAGCATGGATCATCGATATCTGTCGTTCCATAAGGCTGCCCATAGAAGAATGCTTCGGGGGTTGAGGATACCACCGGAAGAGAAAGGGCTTCTGATAGTGGTGCTAGATGTGGGAATTGAGGCTAATATTGAGCCTTTATAGGTGATCCCGACCGCATAATCCTTCACCTTCTCCTCCGAGATGGAGGGTAGTGAGTCAGAGGGAGAAGTCAAAAACTAACGAACTTGGCTCTGGAGTTCAGGAACTTTGAATTGGAGGAGGTGGGGGAGCAAGAGCAGGTTGAGGGTTTTCTAGATCTTGTTGAGGATGGGATCATAGGTTTGGGAGAGGAAGCTGGGAACGATATAGGGGCTGGTTGGGGTGTTGGTGGCAATGGGGAGGGAATGAATGAGGGGATATTGGGTAATCGAGTTGATCACAGGGAGGAAGGGGAGATAGTTGAAGAGGGGGAAGTAAATGGCGAGAGGTTCACTGAGGATAGTTTGGGTGGTGGTCTAGAGCTGGGAGGGGAGAGGCAGGGACGTGGTGTTTGTATTGGGGTTGTAGATGATACATCGGAGGAAATTGCTGCCATGTGTAAGGATATCGGGATGGACCTCAATGTGCATTTTGCTAGGGTGCTTGAGGTGATCAAAGAGA